TAAGCTTGACACTAAAATATAGTTGAACCAGCTGCCAGTCTTCTGGCGAAAGTGCACATTGCAGTAAAATATTTGCCGATTTCGTCGCTCGTTCGCTAAAGCCCAAATAGCCCACATATTGTAGCATAGAAGAATTGCCTATTTTGGTAAGTAGTTAAATGCATCAGACACTTGTTCATAGTCAAGACCATCTAAGCCTACTCAGTTTACATGAAACAAAAGCTTTCTCACATTTTTGTTTCTCTTTTCTGTAAACATCTTCAGCTCGTAATTGGCTTTTGCGCTGGGCCAGAAGCCATTCCTCAACCCGAAGATGAGCGTTTAGACACTTACGAGGAATTAAACAGAAACGATTGGGTAAGTCTGAATGCATCTGCCCAATATGCATTTATAGGCCTTGCTTCGATGTAACAACCGATTAAATTGCTATTCTTTTTCCTCAAAATAGCTATTTACTTTTTTTCACAAGTTTATTCTTGCTCTCGAGTTTTGCTTGTGTGCTTTGATTGGTCGGAGCACAGAGCATTTAGTTGAAAGTAATGAGTATTAGCAATTAGATGATGTATTCTGACTATCTGCTGAGGAGCAAGTCTGGGTGCTTAGTCAATACCTCCAATGAACCCCTTGTATGAAACGGACGTTATGAGTGATTTCCCGAATCAATTGCTCATCTCATAATGGCAGGGAACTAGCTCAGCTTAAGAGTCATTGCCTGCGCTATTCACACTTATTTCCAGCTCAAGTGACCATTCAAACATTGTACTATATCGTACTTTTATCTGCTTTGTTCTTGTTCAGCTTGTCAGCCGTGACTGCATTACCACAGAAGGAGGATTAGTTTTTCAGCTTATATGCCCTGAGGAGCTGATGTCAACCCGAGTGGTAGGAGAACTCCCACCAATTCAGGAGCCAGAAGAAGTCGAACTAGCACTAAAAGTTATTCTTGCAAGGCCACAATTAAAATTGAAAACTACTGGTACCTCGATTTCTTCAGATGCAGGCACTGGGCTTCCTGAGGAGACTGACAAACCTCAGCAGGAGCAGATAGAACATAAAGTTGTGTTCCAGCGGCCGGTACTTGTTGGACAATCAGGCTCCTTCGATATATTGCTGATCAACGAAGGGGGTTCGCAGGCCTTCTGGCGACTCATTGAATTAGGGCCAGCTACACGGCTAAAGCAATGTAAGTGTGAATTACAGCCCATAAACTGCAAACTGTTGGGCATTGCTTTAACTGGAAGTTGACGGATACCTAATAGTAAAGCTCTGATACCGACAAATGTCATGAATCCTCAGCTTTGACAACCATAATTGCCCGGTAGGTAAAATTATTACTGGAGTTGT